AACAGGAAGTAAAATTAACCAGGTGGACGTTACGACAAACAGGAAGTAAAATTAACCAGGCGAACGTTACAACAGGAAGTAAAATTAACCAGAACAGGAAGTAAAATTAACCAGGTGAACGTTACGACAAACAGGAAGTAGAACCCGAGCGAGGCAGAGTGAGGAGCTGCAAAAACTAAGTTAAAATATAAAGTCGAGCTACAGAACCTACAGAAAACCCAAAAACTTTCACTTCAGAACACGAATGTTTGTTTGTTTACCTCAAAGAGTAAACATTAAAAAGACTTTACAGTTTAAAAAACAACAAGCTTCATTTTAAGAACCGGACTGGAAAAATAAAACTTTCAAAGAACTCCAGAAAGTCTGGCTTCAGTTTAAAAGGCCTCTCAGACTCGGGATGAGTTGGTGCCCGTCGTCACGGCGACGCATCGTTAATCCCCGGCGTGGGAGGCGGCGTGGCGCCTCAGGTGTCCCCCGGACGTGAACGTCTTGCCGCAGAGCGAGCAGCGGAACTGCCTGCAGTCTCTGTGGACGCTCATGTGGACCTTCAGCGAGCCGGACTGCGCAAAGCGTTTCCCGCAGTGGACGCAGCCGTAGCGTTTCTCGCCCGTGTGGACGCTCTGGTGGCGTTTCAGGTTGCTGGAGTCGGAGAAGCGTTTGCCGCAGAGCGCGCAGATGAACGGCTTCTCGCCCGTGTGGACCCTCATGTGGGTCTTCAGGTTCTTGAGGCAGGCCAGAGTCTTCCCGCAGCAGCTGCAGATGAACGTCCTCCCCCTGGTGGCGTCCCTGCGGACCCGGTTTTGGAGACGCCACCCGTCCCTCCGGATGAACGCGCTCTGTCCTCCCGGGGGTCCTCCAGGTTGACTCCCCTCGCCGCGGCTGAATCCGAAGCCGCCGCCTGAATCGTTCCCTCCAGGGGTCTGAACCGAGGAGCCGGCGGTCTCTGGCCCCGCGGGATTCTGGGACATGTGCTGGAGGTCGAACACCAGAGAGTCATAGGTTCCGCTGTCTCGTCTCTGACTGGTGTTCAGGGCGTGTTGGGTGGAGGTGGAGCTGACTTCGCTGCTCGTCCACGAAATCCCACCGCCGTCCTCATCGCCCGCCACTTCCTGTTTGACCTGCGAGGACGAAGTGTCCGTCTCCATCGTCCGTCCCTCAGCAACACGACAAAAACTTCCTATGGACGCAACAAACCCGTTACAAACGAAGTTAAACCAAACGACTGTGGAAACCACGAGAAAACTTACGGTCCGGCTCCGTCTGAGACCAGGACTCGTCCTCGTCGTCCTCCACTTTGATCACGGCGGTCGTCTCACCTGCGGGGAGCTGAAACCACAGGAAACTGAGAAACTGCGCCACGGCGCCGCAGACACATTTCTTCTTCTTCTACTCACCGTCTGCAACGCGACTTCCTGTCCCGGGTCCGATGGGGGACCGCGGTCCTGATTGGACGAGCGATTCGACATCGCTCCATCGTCTGCAAAACCAAAAACATAATTTAATTTGTGGGAACAGGAACAAAGTTCCTCTGAACGTGCAGAACTTTTTGTTGACGTTTGAAAATCTTGTTCAGTCGGACGGATCGGAACAGAACCCAGCAGAACCTGACGACCCCCCAGGTAAGTTAATTCAGCACAAGTCTTTGTCATCTTTTAAATATTTTTTCAATAATTCTGACCGGTAAGTTTTATTTAATGGGACTTTAACTCGGAACATTTGATGAACAATAAATTTATATCAGTAACTGTTGAAATGGAAAGTTTGAGCCTCATTTTGATCTGCAATAAATTTACATTTTAACTTGTAAATGTAGACTTTATGCTTAACTCGATGTAATTTTAGCAACTTTTGGTAAACTTTAACTCGTGTCGCTTGGTAAATGTAGACTTTGGGGGTTTAACTCTAAACTTTAAACCAGCAGAGCTGATAAACTTGTACCTGTCTTAGCTGGTGTTTGAAGGTTTTTTACATTAATTGTTAACTTGTGTGTTTCTGGCGCCTCTGACTCGACATTTGAACGTTGTAGCGTGAAATAAAAACAGGAATGAACAAAATTAAAAACAGGAATGAACAAAATTAAAAACAGGAATGAACAAAATTAAAAACAGGAATGAACAAAAATACAGGAATGAACAAAAATAAAAACAGGAATGAACAAAATTAAAAACAGGAATGAACAAAAATAAAAACAGGAATGAACAAAAATAAAAACAGGAATGAACAAAAATAAAAACAGGAATGAACAAAAACGCTCAAATCGTTTTTCCCCTGAGAAAACGCAGAAAATGGAAACTCCTTCCTGGTCAGCTGTGCGCATGCGCACAAGGGCCGCGGTTACCTGTGGGTGTCGCGAGCCTCCTCGGCTCGCAGCCCCCGAGCAGATGAACTCGAGGGCGGCCGCTCGCGGGCAGCAGCGCGCCGGTCCCGTTAACGGCGGCCCTCAGGGCGGAGGTCCGGGCGGCTCGGAGCTCCAGGAGCCGCAGCTTCCTCCGCAGCACCTCGTTCTCCTTGCGGCTCCGGCTGATCTCCAGCTGCAGCACCGCGTAGCCTCCGTCCACCAGCTCGCAGATCTCCGCCACCGCCGTGTTGGCCAGAACCTCCATGATGGAGGCGAGCTGCGCGTGGAAGGTGGCGGCCGGAGACATCCCGAACCCGGAACGATCCAGATCAGATCACGGAGCAGAACCTTTTGTCTCCCGATGCGGCCTCTTCACCTACAGACCGCGGCGCGCGACACAACAGGAACTGACGCATTTGGAGTGCGCATGCGCTAAGCATCTGAGCACGCATGCGCGAAGCGTGAAAATATTTGATCACTTTAACATGTCCTGCGACTGTGAGGAGGAAAATTCACTACTTGAAAAAACAAAAATAAAAACAACACAAAAAAATAAAAACAAACAAAAATAATAAAACAAAAAACAAAACCAACAAAAGAAGAGTAATGAAGATATTTTTCTAACACTACATGTAAACATGAGGTGTGTGTCAGGACGGGCCTCTGGGACGTCTCACATTCAGACCAGTAACGAACCAGTTGGCCTCAATGACTTAATAAAGAAACGACTCAAGACTTTTTCACATTACTGTCTCCAGCTTAGCTTTCAGAACAAAAATATATACAAAAGACAAAACTGTCCAAAATGTATCAAATTACTAACATTAAGTAAAGCTGGACTTAGTTTGTGTTGGTGGTTTTAACCTTTAGCAGCGGGTGACGATGTAATTCACTTCTGTTTTCGTCTGTAAGCAAAATAAACCGAGTAGACCGAAGTGAAGCTCAAAGTTATAAGACTTGCAAGATGGCCGCCACAGCTAATCAACCTAAACACAAATGTCAGTTTTTCAAATATTTAGCATCATTAAGTTTATTGATCCCGCAGGAAACTGTTTGGTGGTAGTAGCTGAGAGTCGTCAGACATTTCATCATTTGGCTGACGAGGACGTCTGAACCACTGAAGGTGGCGGGTGAGTAAATTTAACTTTAATTCAGATTTATGTTAATTCTATCAATCTCTTCTATGATGTATGTAAACAGCTTTAAAACTGAGCAGGTTGACCCACAAAGTTTCAAGATAAAACGTTGCAACTAGTTATTAGTTTTAAAGTTAAATCAGTGTTTCTACAAAAACAAAAAACTATTTCACGGCTGAAATTGTGGCTCTGCAACAATAAAGAGCAAACTGAAAAATAAATATCTGAAGTTTTTTATTAAACCATCAAACAAACAAGAGGTAAATAAATCACAAAAAGTTAAATGTCATCTGGACAGTTTGTTTGTTGGAGGAAAACGTTTCATCCAAAGGACTTCATCAGTCTGAGCCCAGCAGGGTGTGTAGCCTTGTTTCATCCAGCAGCTGTGGAGTTCCCAGGCTGAAAGCAAAAAGGAGGTTCCAGCTGCAGAAAATGGAAACTCCTCCACGTTTGCACCGTTCCCACTCGGGTCAGACTGGATTTGCACCTTCAGGACCGGTTCTGGAGGCGTCCAGAATCCAAAAACCTGCTAATGAACTTTAGTTCACCGAGTGAGAGTTCTGTGATGAGTTCAACTCAAAGCTGCTCCTCAGATAAATAATGTTAAATTATTATTTTAAATATAAATATTTAAGTCCCTGAGACGACTTCTGTTGTGACTTGGAGCTGAAGAAATAAACTGAATTAAATCTGATGAACCAGATTCTACAAAAAACATTTATATTTAAAATTCTCCATTTTTCTTCATCACTTGATGTTTGCACTCGTGTCTACATTTATTGTTCAATGTTTTGATATATGGTTTTGTTTCTTGTGTAGATTTTATTTTAGTGATTAAGTGATGATGAGTTATTGATGTCATTTCTCACTTTTGTCTATAAAGTAATAAATAAATAAAAAGTTATCAATCCTCATTTGAAGAGACCGGAACAATCAGTGATTTAAAGTTTAATTCTTGTTTTGTGATTTGTTCACGTGTGAGTTAGAATAAAGTTGAACTAAAGTCCGTGTCTCTTCTTTAAACGTTTGAGAGAAATATTCCTGAGATCCAATAATTTAGTCTTTTGATGATTTTTCAGCTGAGTTAACTTTAATTGACAGATTATTTAATAAAGTCAAAGTGAAAATAGGATTTCATGATAAAGTCTGGGCACAGTTTATTTATTTTTCACTGATTAAAAAATACAACATTTTTATACACAAAATGTAAAAAAAGAAACAAAACGTTTCCACCCTCCGTCCCGGTCCTCCCGCCTGCCAGGGCTCGAATCCGGCCTTTGTGAGCAGGCGAGGCCGGGGCTCGGGGTTCGGCCTCGCGGGCTTCAACAGGTCGGCAGCTCGTATGATCCTCCGCGGTGACTCCGCTCACTCGAATTTTGTCGTCGGTCACCAAACACAAAAAACTCCTGGACTTCAGCGTTAAACACGGTGTTGTCATTATTGTTGTTAAAATCTTAAAAATAGATCCAGCCGCTGCTCCGAGTTCTGAGAAAATGCAAAAGGAGGATCGGTGAAAAGTTTCTGAGATCCAGTGACTCCTCCCCCTGACCACTCCCCCTGACCACTCCCCCTGATCAATCAAGAGTCCTGCATTGACGTTTCGATACCGACTCAGCTCACACGGTCCCACCAGAGAAGCAGGGACCAAACGAGGTCTCGAATCAGCTAAAAAGTGGAATAGAGATCTTTGTGTGGAGGGCTGAGTAGAGTCGGGGCTGAGTAGAGTCGGGGCTGAGTAGAGTCGGGGCTGGGTAGAGTCGGGGCTGGGTAGAGTCGGGGCTGAGTAGAGTCGGAGCTGAGTAGAGTCGGGGCTGGGTAGAGTCGGAGCTGGGTAGAGTCGGGGCTGAGTAGAGTCGGGGCTGGGTAGAGTCGGGGCTGAGTAGAGTCGGGGCTGAGTAGAGTCGGGGCTGGGTAGAGTCGGGGCTGAGTAGAGTCGAAGCTGAGTAGAGTCGGGGCTGAGTAGAGTCGAGGCTGAGTAGAGTCGGGGCTGAGTATTGGAGCTTTTGCACCGCTCCTACTCAGCCCCGACTCTACTCAGCCCCCGAGCAAGAAGAGCATCGACCGTTTCCAGAACCGTTTGGACCTGCGGTCAGTTGTCCAGGTGACACTTCTTCATGTGCAGCTTCAGGCTGTTCCTGACGATGAAGCTCTTGGAGCAGAGCGTGCAGGCGAACGGCCGCTCCCCGCTGTGGACGTTCAGGTGAGACTTCAGGTGCGACGACTGCGTGAACTTCTTGCCACACTGGTTGCAGGTGAACGGCCGCTCGCCCGTGTGGATCCTCATGTGGACCTCCAGGTTCTGGTTGTTGGCATACGTCTTGTTGCAGGCGGGGCAGACGTAGCTCTTCCTGTGGGCGCTCGGCTGGGCTCGGCCCGGCTGGTCCCCGTAGAGGCTGAAGGTCAGGACGTCGGCGCTGTCTTCGTACTGGAACGTGGAGCTCCTGCTGCTGGACGGCTGGCAGTCTGGGGGCGCTGGTCCGGACCCGGAGACGCTGATCAGCTTCAGGCCGAATGCGTCTCCGTCCACGTGTCCGTTCGGATGAAACGGTGCAAACGTGGACTGCTTGGTCCAGGCCGGGTCCACGTTCAGCTCCAGTTCTGCTCGGTTCGACTCCACGAGGGTGCCGCTGAAATACGCCTGCCTGCTGGAGCTGGCAGACACCAGAGAGCAGTCCTGGACCAGGTGGACGTCCGGGTCCAGGTTAGTCGAGTACTCGCCGTCCTCCATCTGGACCTCTTCCACGAGCTGACCGGAGCGGCCCGGCTCGCTGCGAGGAGAGTCCAGAGAGAAGACGTTCCTGGACGTCCCCGCGGCCAGCCCACGCTCAGACGATGAAGACTTCTCAGGATCTTCACCTCGACTGCGCCGCCGCCTCCGCCGGCTGATCGTTTCTCTGAGCGGCGCCGCCCCACCGCCGCCTGCAGGCGTCCGGTTCCCTTCAAGAGAAAGAACACGAGACTTACAGAACGTCCTGCAGGTTTTCAGAAACGCTGCGGAGCTTCTTTCATCACGAGCTTCAACACTGATGAGAAGTCGATTTCATGGCTGCTCTGCCTCGACCTTCACTCAAGTGAACAACAAGTTGTCACTAATCCGGGAGTGAAAATGGAGCCGTCCATGAAACTCAACACTCAACATGATTGTTCAATCCTGTTCAGTTGAGGCGACTCTAAACTGAAGGTCATACGTCCAAAACTGACCTAGAGACAGTAAAACGTGCGCTGACAACATCCAGGCTTGATCAGTGTGCTTCTTTGTGGAACCAGTCAGACTCTAGTGCACGTTTACAACTGGTCCAAAATGCTGCCGCCTGATTTTTAACTGGTACAGGCAAGAGAGCACATTACACCGGTCCTGGCCTCCCTGCACTGGCTCCTGGTTCACTTCCTAAATTTAAGATCCTTCTGTGTGTTTTTAAATCTGAACAGTTCTGCCCCCTCTTATCTCACTGATCCGCTGCAGCCATATCTCCCACAGCGCTCTCTGAGGCCAACAGAAGCTTTAATTGGTTCCAGGAACTCGTTTTAAGCTCAGAGGTGACAGAACCTTCTCTGCTGCCGGTCCAAAACCGTGGACTGAGTCACCACCGCAGCTTTCAATACTTTGAGTTGATTTTAACTTCTCTGTGTTTTATAATTTTAGTCATTTAGTTCTTATCTTTACCTCTGTGGATCGATGTATTTTATTCTGTGTACTTTGCTTGTTTTGTTGTACAGCACTTTAGTTGGCCTTGTTGCTGTTTTAAGTGTTTTATAAATAAAGTGATATGGTATAATAATTATACGTATTATTGCTAATCTGTCCTGAAGCTGTTTTTAATAAATAAATCTTGTTTTCACTCAGTGGCTGTCGCAGGATAATTTAAATTCTGCCAACAGTGACATCTGTTGGTGGAGTCGAGTACTGCACCCACAGGTGCGTATGACCAATTAAGGCATCAGGTGCACGTGTGTATGGACATGAGCAGAGAACAGCTGCTAACCGTTTGGTCAGAAGGTGCACATGGTGAGTTTACATGTTTAATTTTGGTTGTAAATGTGGTTTAGTTAACACGTGTGTGTTTATGTTGTGTATCAAGTTTTTCATGGTGTTTACTGGTAAAAGCAGATTTCCTGTTTGGTGAAGAAACGATTAAGAGCTGGTTGAACATCAGTTGGAGCGTGGTCTTATTCTGTACCAGATGAAAACACGGGCAGCGGTTCCAGTGAGGACACCTCAGCAGCTGCGAGCTTCATGCCCTCACTGTGTGCACACGCCTGCAGTCTGTAGACACGGTTTACCACAATGCTCCGAGGTTCATCACCGGCTCTTCTCTTACTGCACCTTTACATCGTTGTCCTTCTGTCCTGTTTTGTGCCCCCTCGGCGTGGAACCCCCCCCCCCCCACAGACAGACCTGAACCCGCCAGGACCTGAGCCCGTCAGGACCTGCCAGGACCTGAGCCCGTCAAGACCCGAGCCCGTCAGGACCTGCCAGGACCTGAGCCCGTCAGGACCTGCCAGAGCCTT